TTCAATAGGTACATTGCATCAGCACTCCCTGGCATGTGGTAGAGTGTCAGGAGCCCTGGCTGAGTCTCTCCTGATTTGAACAGCTTTATCTACACAGCACAGCTTCCCTCATTCCATGTTCTGCCAAAACCACTTGTGTCTGTTCAGCCCCAGTTTGGACACTTCAGAAGTCTTTAGCCCCTGATGTCTGGTTTCTCAGATTGCTGTGAGTTGCATTGAATGTGGAATTGGGGCAATATCAAAGACATCTGCTAGAAACCCCCACTTTGTCTCTCTCCCTCTGAGCTTTCTTGGGCCAGAGACTATGGCAACTCCGCTCTCCTACCCCACAGATACCTCCTTGGATTTTGTCCCTGAATCCTCACTGAGTGAGGGTGGGAGTTCATGTCATGATAACACACTTTTTGTTCAGGTCACACCTGAGTCACGACACAGACAGAGACACAGGTATCCTCCCATTACTGTTACTTAGAAGGTAAAACGACCATGTAGAAAAGACCCGAACCTCTCAGCCAACACACAAGCCCTTCTTCCATTTGAGTCAATGTAGCTTTCCACAAGTGAAGTGAAAGTTCTGATACAGTGTGCATCACTGCTTTGATCCCCAGGTCAGAAATATCTTTCAAATGTGTTGTCCTTTAACATTAAAACTAATACTAAAGGGAAAATTTCCCAAGATACAAACGGGATAACTTGGAGGTTCTCACAAGCATGATCCCCAAACAATCGGACTTCCTGAGGCCAATTAAATCGGCACAACCCTGGGTGAAATTGATACATCACAGTATTTTAAACAATTTCCATAGTGATTCTACCCCGCACCAAGGGTTTAAGTCCACTCATGTGGGAACACGAGGAACAACCTAATTACACCCTTGGCAGCCTAGCCTGAAAGATGGACAGTTTCATTTCCTTCATAAAACATTTACTGTCCCCTAAACCTGTTGCTGACAGTAGCTGTGCTCCTGACGCGCACTCTGATGTCCTAACTGCTGTAGACAGGAGTGGACGGTGAGCAAGGCTTAGGGGCATCTCTGCATTGTGTAAGGGTCACACAGCATTCTCCTATTCCACCTCCTCTTCCATTCCCATAGTACTAATCAATCCTCTTTTATATTCTGTCCACGCCTTTCCCTTCTTTCTGTCCACTTTCATCAAGACAGAAGATATGTGCTGCATTTCCGTTTGTACTTCCAAAACTAAGGGAATGAAAAATCTGAACACTGAAGTCATGCCTTGCACTACCACCCCACTGTCGGCAGAGGGCGTGTCAGCCCGCCTTTTCTGACCGTGAAGGCGCATGCGCGCTCCCCTGCTCAGAGGCGCTCAGAGTCCAAAGTGAGGAAGCAGCTTTGGAAAGGGTTCCGTGAATGCTGAAGTGGCAGTTTCGCTGCAGGTTCACCTTAGGAATTTTTCCCTAAGGAACAATAACTGTTTTTATTTTCTGGGCTGTTCCTATGTGTTTCATTCCTTCTGCTATAAAATTTATAGCAGCAAATATATTGAAACATATTTATTGAGGTTTTTAATAGAGAATCCAAACAGGGTGTGATGTTCGTCCCTACCTCCGCAGTTGACTGCAAAAAATAAACCTAAATAAATAAATATAAACTGCTGGAGACTCAGAAGGAGCAGAAACACATCAACAATCGTGAGACAAATACACAGAATATCAAGACCTTCCGGAACAATGAATTTAAGGATAGAGCAGTGCCAGACTAGCCCCTATTGAAGCCTAAGAAGAGAAACTGAAAGTACACGTACCTGTGCCCCTTCTCCTGTATTTTGTCAAAGAATTTATAATCTTAAAATCATTGTTAATTCTAAGTTCAGGCAGTGAGTGTCTGGTTTATCCGAGAGACCTTTAGATGACTGTACACATGGAAATTTTGTGGATTTGCCATTCATTAAAAATAGTGAAATAACAGCATTGATCCAATAATGAGGGCAAAGCACCTATCAACACTATTGCATTGGGGATAAGTTTGTAAGATGTGAATATTAGAGGACATAGTCAAAGAACAGCATCCTGATGACAAAGTTAGAAAATAAAACTACAGCCTAATATCCCTGAGGAAGACAGATCTTTAAAAATCCTCACAAGATCTTAGTGAACTGAATTAAACAGCACATTTGTTTAAATTACTCATCATGATCAAATTGGATTTATCCCAGAGATACAAGGACTGGTCTATATGTTCCAATATGATTCCACCCATGGCAAGTTCTGTGGCACAGTCAAGGCTGAGAAGTGGAAACTTGTCATCAATGGATATCCCATAACCATCTTCTAGGCCCTCAGCTGCTGGGGTGCCCCTGCCTACTCAGTCCCCCACCTCACTGAGAATCTCCCCTTGACACAGTTTCCACACCAGATCCACTGAAGAATGGGAGGGGCCTAGGGAGCCCCACCTTGTCATGTAACACCAATAAAGTTCCCTGTATTCAGAAAAGAAAAATGAGTTAAAAATTTTATATAGAACCAGGAAGAAAAGCTGAATAGCTAAAGCAACCTTGCAGAAAAAGAACAAAGCTGGGGTGGTGCTGTGGCTCAAAGGAATAGAGTACCGGCCCCATATACCTTAGGTGGTGGGTTGAAACCCAGCCTTGGCCAACAACAACAAAAAAGAACAAAGCTGGAGGCATCACACCCCCTGAGTTCAAGATATATTATAAAGACATCATAATCAAAATAGTATGTTACTGGCATAAAACAGACACACTGACCAATGGAACTGCCCAGAAATAAACCTAAGTATTTTATAGTTTATTGATTTTTTTTTTTTTTACAAAGGGCCTAAGGACACAAAACGAGGAAATCTCATTTAACAGTCTCTTTTAACAAATGATATTAGAAAACTTAACATCCATGAGCAGAAAAAAGGAATTAGACTCTTATCTCAAACCATATACAAAAAATCAACTCAAAATGGATTACAGACTTAAATATGAGCTCTGAAACTGCAAAGCTACTAGAAGAGAACATGGGAAAAGCTCCGTGACATTGGCCTAAGCAATAATTTGTTGGATAGAATTTCACAAGCACAGGCAACAAAAGCAAAAATAGACAAACGAGATTGCATCAAACTAAAAGGAAAGCAAGCAAAGGAAACTATTATTAACAGAGTGAATACACAGCCCAGGGACTGGGGAAAATACTTGCAAAGCAGACATCTTATTCCTAAATACATAAGCAGCTCAATTCAATAGAAAGAAAACAAATAATCCTATTTAAAAATGGGCAAAAGATATGAACAGGCATTTCTCAAAAAATATGAATGGCTAATAGAAAATATGATTAAAATGCTCACCATCTCTAATCATCAGGGAAACGAAAATTAATACCACCATGAAATATCACTTCTCTCCTGTTAGAACAGCTATTAAGAAAATGACAGATGATAACAAATGTTGTCAAGGATATGGTGAAAAGGAAGCACTTGTACACTGTTAGTGAGAATGTAAGTTAGAACAGCCATTAGTATAGGCACCACGTGTGGTGGCATTTTACTCTCCCAGTATTGATCCACTTGATGAAAAAGATTTGAAAATAAATGACCACATGATTCAACTCCCTCCTCAGCTCTGAAGAGTATGTCATTGTTCTAGCAAACAAAAAGCTCACACATTCATGAGGGAGGCAATATACATTCAGTAAGCCAACATACAAAGCAACAAGCACTAGACCACAAGCAGAACTCTACAGGGGGTTCAGATCAGGAGCAAGTAGGGTGAGTAAAGTCTGGTCAAGTCTGGGAAGTATTCACTAACAAAACATCTAGTCACTAACTAGACCAACTGGTTTCTCAATACAGCCTAACCTGTCACTTAACATAGACCAATGTTTATTCACAAACTTTAATCTTTTGCCAAAATATTTGTAGCTTATGTTCCTATTTAGCAAGGTTTCTGGTCACAACTGTGCACCCACATCCTTCTAATGAACTAAATGTCCAACAAAACAAGGACTCTCAGTCTTCCCATGAATGCTATTCAGCAGACATAGAGCCCCTCTGTCCGTGAGTATCACTAATGGGGTACAGGCAGGCACTTATTATCCAGACAAAAACATTTGGCTGGTGCCAGACAGCCACCAACGGAGGTGTTTTCTGCCTCCCGGAAATGAAGCCAAGCTTTCTTCTCCCCGCAGCCATGAGGATCCAAGTCTTCCTCTTTCCCATCCTCTTCTTTATGAGCCAAGTTCTACCAGGTAACAAAATAGACTTTGCAGAACCTAATAAGAGTAGAATGCCTGAGACCTAATGCCGCGACCCTTTAATACAGTTCCTCATGTTGTGATGACCCCCAAACATAAAATTATTTTTGTTGGCTACTTCATAACTGTAATTTTGCTATTGTTATGAATCATAATGTAAATGTCTGATATGCTGGAAGTATTTTCATTGTTAGAAAGGGGTCATGACCCACAGTTTGAGAACCGCCACTTAGAGGGATCCAATTTCCAAAGCAGAATTACCATCACCTATGACCAAAAAGGGGATTTCACGGGAAATCTGGAAGACTCTTAGACTGAAGCCATCTGATTCATTCATTACTTCTCCATAGAAAGTCTGATAGAAGAAAAGAAGGCAAATGTGTTTCAGGTGCTTAAAGCCCTCTTTACTCCATCAGTAAATGTGAATTTAGTTAGGCAGGTTTCCTCGAAGTTTCTAGATCTTGACAAGAAACAGAAAAAATAGGGCATTATTCTACTAAATATTTGCCTCCAAAACTCCTTTACTTTCTTTCAGCAAAGGTTATTTATCTTAGCTCACTGGCACAGGAGCTATTCCAAAGCCATAGTGGGCTCAGGCAAAAGAGATTGGTGGGGTGACTCTCCTTTAAAAGGTTACTGTAATCTAAGAAATCTCCAACTCATTGCCCTGTAATACTGATGGTCCCTTGATTTTGAACTTGATTTTGTCCCTTAAGGCTTCATCCCAATTCCTGGATTTCCCTCTTCCTTTTGCTGTCTAGTCTTCTCATGTAAAACTTAAAACACAGGAAGCAGAGATTAACCTTCAACAGAGTGTATTCTTCTGTGTCCAGCATGCATGCAGGAGTCACAGGTGCAAGGCCCCTTGCACAGACATGCTTTGAAGTAGTAGGTATAGAGCTAGTGACTTTTACCCCAAGAAGTAACCAGATATCCAAAACAGGTCAAGGAACTTCCTGGAATTCCTGAATATGCAGATAAAAAAAGAAAGAAAGAAAGAAAAAGAGAAGAAATGTACAATTAAAATTGTTTTCCCAGTTCACATTTTAGGTGAAAGTATGGTTTTGCATATTTGGTCATCACATCCATTAACTAATTGACTTGTGATAATTGAGGAGTTAAATTCAATCGAATTCCTTTGCATTTCAGTTCGATTCAACAGGCATTCACTGAGTGCATAATAAATGACGTGTACAGATTTGAAGCTATTTAAGAATCATTCTTTGTGTTCCAGAACAGAAAAAATTAGAAGCTCTGGTTCTGATACCTGTCCTGTCAGCAAAGAGCTACAGAGGCCATCATTGAACATGGGTCACTGTGTTATGTATGGACCCTGCTCAGAATTTAACCGCTTTTGAAACTGGGGCCCATCTTGGAGCAGTGTTATCTTAGCACATAAATCAAATATTAATCAATGTTTAACAAATGTATTCATTCAGCCTTTAAGAAGAACTCTAACATTTCACTCTTAATGTATGTAGTGGTGTCTAGAGCAAGATTGCAACCTCAAAACTAAAGAAATGAAGCCACAGGGTGTAACAAATACTGACAGAGGCATATTTGTGCATTAAGTATGTAGGAAAATTGTTCCCTTCCCTAGAAAAATATCCTCTCTAACAATTTCCTTGAAGTATACTGTCTTTTAGATCTGTATTTCAGTTCCACTTTTGAAAGATATATATTATAATCTATCATCAATATTTACATGGAAATATATACATATATGTGGAAAGAAAGCACTGGGGAGAAAGGGAGACATTTTTCGTCTCTAAAAACTTCCTTCTACTTTAGGAAAATCAGAACTACAAGATGTGATATTTTTAAAATCTCCCCCATCAGTGTTAGAAGATAATAAATAGTAAGACAAATAAACTGGAGTATACATGCTCTAGAACCTAAAAAGGGGGGAGACGGCCACTCAGCTTCAACTTGTGTACCCAACATTGTCAGATTTTCCCAGAATGCCAAAAAACTTTTGTATAACAGCAGATCATTAGGTGTTTGTTTAAGAAATCAAAAAACACAACAAAAAGCTCTACATAAGATTGTTTTCAAACATTGCCTCTCACTGACAGGTAATCAATCAAAATTCAGGGAGACTAACAAACAGTTGTAATTATCCTCTTCTGTGTGCAGCCAGGGGCGGGCTCAGGGAGATCTGTGAGCGTCCAGATGGCTCCTGCCAGGATTTCTGCATTGAAACAGAAGTCCACGTGGGGAGATGTTTAAATGACCAATATTGCTGCCTGCCCATGGGACATCAACCCAGAATTGAAAGCACTACACCCAGCAAGAACTGAAGCTGAAGACTTTTCTTTATTTGAATGATTTATAGTCTCTTTCTCTTTGTCCTTTTTTCCCCATAGGGATTCTTAGTGGGTCCTCAATAAAGAATAAAGCAAAGCTACCAAGCAAAAAACTTATTTAAAAATTCATATTATATATTATCACTTGATTACTGTTTGGTTTCCTGTAAAATCCATCCTTTTATGTGATCTGGATGAGCTCCTGGTTGAACATGACCTGGGGTTGGGGGTGGTGGTGCTGAGGACATAAAGACATAAGTAGGTTAGAAGTAAAAAGATGAAAAAAAAAAATACCACTTTCTCTCGCTCTACGCCATTGTGGTGAGTTTGAGCAGTCCCGTTTGTCACCATGTCTTCCCATAAGACTTTCAGAATCAAGTGGTTTTTGGCCAAGAAACAAAAACAAAATCGTCCCATTCCCCAGTGGATTCGAATGAAAACCGGTAATAAAATCAGGTACAACTCGAAGAGGAGACACTGTAGAATAACCAAGCTGGGTCTATAAGGAATTGCACACGAGATGGCATGTACTTGGGCTGTACTTCGATCACTATCATCTTACCATATCAAGCTGAAAATGTCATCAGTTGGACAGTTGCCACACTTCATTGGGAAAATGAGTTTTCTCTTTGTTTATGTGCTGTTCACTAATAAGCTGGTGCAGTAATAAATACATGAGACCTTGAAAAAAAATACCATGTAAATACTAATTAAAGTTGTATTTGTTGGGGGCGGCACCTGTGGCTCGAAAGTGTAAGGCACCGGCCCCATATGCCAGAGGTGGTGGGTTCAAACCCAGCCCTGGCCAAAAACTGCAAAATAAATAAATAAATAATAAAGTTGTAATTGTTATTTGAATATCAGACAAAATAAGCTTAAAGTCATGGATTATTAACAGGGACATGGAAGAACATTAATAGTAACAAGGTTAATTTATCAAGAAGTCACAGTGCAAATATACTGTGCATCTAACAATAAATTTTTAAAATACATGAAGCAAAAAAGAGGAGGACGAGAAGGAGAAATAGCTAAATATATACTTAAAATCAAAGAACTTGACATTTCTCTTTCAGTCATGGATAGAATAAAGGACAAAATGCTAACTGTTAACCTAACGAATATTTACAGAAAACTTCACATATCACCAGCAGAATAAACATTCTTTTCAAGTGTGCATTTACCAATATAGACCATATTCTGGCTCATATAAAAAGTCTTAAAGGAAATAAAATGATCCAAGTCACATGTTCTGTGACCTTAATAGACTTAAACTACAAATTAACACTCAGTATTTTTAAAATTCTCAACTATTGGGAAATCAAACAACAAAACTTCTAAATAAAAATGATAAGTATTTTGAATTGAATTCAAAATGCTTGCAGTAAAGCTGAAGTAGCATTTTGAAATAAACTTACTGCATCCAAGTGCTTGTATGAGAGAAGAGGAAATTGCTGGGAGGTCATGATATAATTTTATTTATACTTTGATCTACTCATCACAAAAATGGTAACTGTGAGGTTACACATATATTAATTTGCCAGATTTAGTTATCCTACAAAGCATATATACTTAAAAGTATTGTGCTCTACACAGAGAGGATGTATAATTTTGCCTATCAATATAAAGAATAAAATAATTTTTAAAAATCATTTACAAGAAATTGCTGTATTCCTCCACCCAGAACACAGCCTTCCAGAGTAACCATAACTTCCACCCCCATAACTTTCCTGTACCTTTGAGGCTTGGCACAACTACGGGCCAGATAAAAGCTGGAGGAGGCCCAGTCATGCAGAAAAATGAAAAACCTAGGTAGTTCTCTCTGATAGTCCGTAGGATAAAATAATCGAATGTGTCTGTGCTCCTGGTATATTTGCACAACCCAAACGTCTCCCTGTGTTCTTTCAAAGCCAGGTGCAATCTGACAATTGGAGCATCCACTCCAACCCCTAATTATTAGTTCAAAAGACTACAGGGGAAAGAGAAACAGCCCTTGGGTGAAGATTCAAGTCCTGTAGACCAAGTTTTTCAAATGGAGATGGTTTTGTCCCTAGGGCAGAATTGGTTTGTCTGGAGATATTTTGGGTTGTGGCAACCAGAAAGGTGCTACCAGATCTACCAGGTGGAAGCGAGAGGCACGCGGAGCATCTTACACAGTGTCAACGGTGCTGCGCCTGAGAGACCCTGCTGCGGGCTTGCAAAACAGTACCAACCAGAGGCACCCGAGGACGACCAACGTCCGCCTTGAGAGCATGTTACAGCCTTCCTGGGAAAGCCCGAGTCTCACCCCTAAATGGTGCAAGCCACTCACCTACCCACACCCCTTTGTAGTGCTATGCCCTTACTCCATAGATGTGCAGCATGGGGAAGACATGATTTTTTTTTTAAATATGTTTTTTACAAAACTTCCAAAAAGTTTTGTAAATCACCCCTGGACACTCCAGAGTAATTTTCATCACATTCCTTCTTAAATACTGTTTCTCTCTTGTTTCTGTTTCCCCATCTTTTTCAGTGTCTTACTTCTGATTTGATTGAATTTACTTGATTGCCCAAGTAAATCCGATTCAATTCATTCCCCTAGTTTTGTACTTGTCCCTATATTTTACCTTTGAATATTACTTCTCTGATTACTTGAAACCCATCAGAGAAATTACAGGCCAGGTGCGGTGGCTCACGTCTGTAATCCTAGCACTCTTGGAGGACCAGGATGGTGGATTGCTTGAGCTTAGGCGTTCAAGACCAGCCTGAACAAGACTGTGATCCTGTTTCTGTAAAAAATAGAAAAACTAGCTGGGTGTTGTGGTGGGCAACTGAATCAATCCCTTGCTACATGAGTCTTTCCATAAAGTAGCTTAGAATAGGACAGCTGACTTTCCTCTGTGCAAGTAAGTCAGCGAGAGGGGGAGAGAGGCTGCCCAAGATGGGCTTGGTCCTTATCTGAGAAGGGACTTCCCATCACGACTATGCTCTTTTCATTAGAAGCAGGCCAGCCTACTCTCAAACAGTGGAGTTACACAGAACATGACCATCAGGAGGCAAGGATCACTGGGGACCATTGTAGAAGCCAAAATCATAATACTCAATAAAGTAGATTTCTAGCCAAATAGTTCCATTTAGGTTAAAAAATATATAATTGGCTCAGCACCTATAGCTCAACCGGCTAAGGCGCCAGCCACGTACACCTAAGGTGGCGGGTTCGAATCCCCAGCCCGGACCCGCCAAACAACAA